CGAAAGTTTTACCAAATATAAATACAACAGATTTTAATTGTTTGAAAGGTAAAACATTTTTGACTTCTTTAGTTTTAGAAAATTTTGAAATGAATTCTAAACCAAGAGACGATTCATCCATTCCTCCTGCTACCTTTACATCTCCAACTAATATCGCTTCTTCTTATCATCAACCATCTCTAACTAATATCGATTCTTCCCATCAACAACCATCTTCAACTTATAATGCTTCTTCTTATCAACAACCATCTCCAACTTATAATGCTTCTTCCCATCAACAACTGTCTCCAACTTATAATGCTTTTCCTTATCAACCACCCAATCCAACTATTATTGCTTCTCCTCATCAACCTTCCAATCCAATTCTCCATACTGATTATGATTCATCTGACTCAGCTGCCTCAAGTATTAGAAGTATTCAATGAGCCTTTTCAACTATGAGTGGTATACCCCAATTAACACAATTTTGCCATCAATCTCACCATCAATCACACAATCAATCTTGCTAACAATCAAGCCAATTATTTAATTCTCAACAATCATCTTACCCTCACTATGACTTACATTCACCTCCATATAATGATAGAAATCATTCAGTATCTCAACAGCGCTCACATCCACCATTACGACAATCACGACATAACGATAATAATGATAGAAATCGCTCACTATCTCCATAATGTTCTAGTTCAGAAACACAAAGAAGATCATGTGAACAACGATCATCTAATAATCAAGGTATATAATTAGTGATCAAAACGATATATAAGTCTTTTTTTTCGTGCAATTAAAAATTGAGATTTTTCCCTTTTACCTTTTTTTTTTTTTTGTGTGTCTTGTCCTTAAAGATCGTGCCCACACCCACTGCTGAAAAGTAGATGAGCGACTTTTCGCTCAAAACCAGCAGCTCTATATTATATTGAAGAGGCTGAGCAAAGATGTAAAAAAATTAGAACTGAACTAAGATGCCAACATAGTGATGTGAAGAATGACCTTTCCCTGAAGGTTCTTGAGGTTAGTATTTACAATTAAAAACTTGTTTGGATGTATTTCTTGTATTTTATCATGAAACATATATTAAAGATTTTTTTGTAGAAAATTTTTACGTGTGTGGCTAAACGTCTCTTCCCGTACCATGTGTACCCCACCCAAGCTGTAATTAAAGAAATGTTTAAGGGTTACCTTGAAGAAAAGTTCCCGGACTTTATAAGTAATTTAGTGCCACTGAGTTTGCTAACCGTTTTCATGGTCAATGGTTGAGTCTAGTAATATATATATATATTTTTTTTTATATCCATCGCTTATAATTGTTAATAATCATTTTCTAACTTTCTTAATTTATTACAACTTATATTATTTTGTTAGATAATATCTTTTTTTTTATTG